TGACAGAAGCTATTGACAGCTATTCTTCAAAAGGGTTGCGTCTCTTTAAAGAGAGAGACAGACTAATGAAAAGACAACCTCTATATTAATACTCCACCACTATATAATAATTACTACTCCAGTAGCTCATGCTATTATATTAAATCTATAATTCAAAATTAAAACGCATAAGAAAATCTATTTTCACTTCATTATAACACTGCCATCTGTTGGCTTCATAACATTGGGCTCAACATGTGCACGAGCCGAGTTTTGTGTGTGAGTTTTTTGTATCTTTCAGGAGATGTTCCTATTATAAATTGATATTATAACTTATTCCTGTAATTTTATCTAACGTGACAGATGTTTTAAATTGACAGAAACCAACTAACCATAATCCATCACAGAGCACAAAGTCATTGCAAATACTCACTGATAGCCTATTTGTGCTGTTGTTTTCCCTCCAAACTAATCGATGTCACTTCCTGTAGGGTGATGACATTAAGGAAACTGGCTTGTTTTTAAAAGGGATTTTACAAAATGCTAACATGATGGAAAGAGATATTGAGAAATAGGGAAAAACCTACAAAATGTTGACTAATTGAGAAATATTTCTAAGAAAACATGTTTTGTTTTAAACATTTAATTAAGAGAAATAATTTAACACCTGGAGTTTTTTAAATAAATGTAGTGGAATCGATTTAAAAATTAAAAATATTGTGATAAAATAAAACAATCTAATATAATTTCCCTCTTTGCAATTTAAAAAGTTTATCCAATATATTATACAAATACAATGGCAACATTAAAATGTACAACTAAGGAATAATACACATCTGTGCAACATTTCCAATAAACGTTGGACAGTGTTATCATATGTCTGTCTATACAAAATAACTAATAAAAACTAGTCAATCAAGATTCCCCACTAATCCTAATAACACCACAGAAACAGAACAGATTATAGATGTTTTTGAGGACACTAGTCTCTTCTTGCTCAACACTTAAAATAGTCCCTGTCTTGTTCTGACTTGACCGACATGACTCTTCTTTTAGGTGTGTGTAATATTTAGTTCAACTACAAAAACCTATTGTAATCTGTATAATCTCAGATCTATTCTGGACACATTGTGAAAATTAGGAAACATATTTAACCAAAATATTGTACAGTCATTTCACTTGAAGTCTTTGTTTATAAAAAGGAATATATTTATATAATTTTTATAGTGTAATAATGTTATTTTTAATATACAATTAATTTATTTAATAATAATTGTTTAATATTACATATACGTGTGTGTGTGTGTGTGTGTGTGTGTGTGTGTGTTTTTGACCTGAATACGTACCAGCATTACAGGGATATTTGGGTTTATGAGGACAGGGACCATGTCTTTATAATTCCGGAAGCTATTTTCTAAGTCCCAGAAACCCCCTCTCAAATTTTGTGTGTGTGTGTGTGTACATGTGGCCCGTTTCAATAAGGAGGTTCAACCAAGTCTGAGTTTAAACTTGAACTCTGAGTTGAATTACCCTAAAATGGGAAACTTTGAGTTTTCGGTTTCATAACAGCTGAACTGAGTTAGTTCAATCCGCTCTGGGGGCTGTTCCATAAAACAAGTTTACCAAATAATTAAATAAGCCAGGCTTCTTTCAGTTAGTCTGACTTATTTTCACTTGATTTGGTTTCATAAAGCAAAATTACCATAGCTCAAGCTCAGTCACTGCATGTGGCAACTTATGCTGGGAAACTAACCTGGTCCCGAGCAGGCTAACTGTCAGGCTAAGCTGAGCTCCTCTAACACTGACCAATAGGAACGCATTGATATTACCACTGACTCTCTCACATACAATTAGTTGACTTTATTATTAGTCCAAAAATAAAAGTATGCAGAAAATGCAACTTAAATAATCAAATAAATAAAAAAAATAGGCTACAACAGACAGATGGGAATCCGTGTACTGAACTACCTCGAAGATTGGCTGATTCTAGCCAGATCAGAACGGGAATTGGTCACTCACTGGATGCTGTTGCTCAGCCACTTAGAGCACATGGGGTTGAAGATCAACCCACAGAAGAGTCAGCTGTTGCCCAGACAGCAGGCTGTCTTTCTGGGAATGACTTTAGACTCTGCTCGAATGCGAGCATGGATCACGCCGGAATGATCCCTGACCGTTCAGCAATAGGTGGCATCCTTTAAACCTGGGACAACACGTCCTTTGAAGGTTTTTCAGAGACTGCCTGGTCTCATGGTGGCCACCGCCTCTGTGATACCTTTGGGCCTGCTCTATATGCAGCCACTTAAATTTTGGCTCAAAGCCCGTGTTCCACCCCATGCCTGGCACCTGGAACAACTTCGTGTCAGGAAAGACCATCGCTGTGTCAAAGATGTGGTTCCTTGGACAACCCCCCCACCTGTTTCAAACAAATAAATTATTTTATTCGTCCTGGGTCTGACCTCCAGATGGAAGGTGGTTGCAACAGACGCCTCCAACTCGGGTTGGGGCACCCTGTTGGAGGGCAATCCGGCATTCAGCTTCTGGTCATCCCCGGAGCAACGCCTACACATCAACTGCCTGGAAATACTGGTGGTTTTCCTAGCCCTGAAAACCTTGCTGCCGGCCTTGAGAGGGCACCACGTCTTAGTCCAGTTGGAAAGCATGACAGTGGTGGCTTTCATCAATCCCAAGGCGGGCTCAGATCGCACTCCCTTTACAGGACGGCTCGACACCTCCTTCTATGGGCAGAAATAGAACTCCTCTCATTAAGGGCGGTTCACATGCCGGGCAGGTTGAACCTTGGCGCAGACATGCTGTCCAGACGCAGTGTATCCTCAGGCAAATGGGTGCATGCCTGAGGATACACATGGGTGCATAAACACACATTAAGTGTATGTGACAGCTATCGCAGCGAACCATTCTCTCGAAGCTGGCCAATCGATCGGCAGAAACGACCTGGTCGTTAAGTTCTTGAGAGGCGCTCGGAGGCTAAACCCTCCTTAGACTGTGCCGTCCTGGGACTTGTCTATAGTCCGGCCCTATGAGGGCCCCCCTTTGAGCCACTCAGTTCGGCCGAATTGCGGCCCCTAGCGTCGGTTAAGCAAGTGGGTGACTTGCAAGCGCTGTCAGTTAGCGCCTTATGTCTTGAATTTGGACCTAACGACTGTAAGGTCGTCCTGAAACCAAGACATGGTTATGTTCCTAATGTGCTCTCGACTCCGTTCAGACAACAAGTGATTACCCTGTTGGTGCTCCCCATTACAGATGGTGAACAGGGTACTAACTTGCCCTGTCCAGTGAGGGCACTGTGAGTGTATTTAGAACACTAAATAAAGAGCAGTCAGAGCAGCTCTTTGTTTGCTTTGCAGGCCGCCAGAAGGGACTGCCGGCCACAAAGCAGCGACTCTCTCGGTGGATTGTAGATGTGATAGCCTTGGCTTAAGCCTCAGAAGACTTACGATGCCCCATAGGTGTGAGGGCCTACTCTACAAGGGGGATGGCCTCCTCCTGGGCATGATCTCTATTGGTAAGATTTGTGCGGCCATCAGCTGGTAGTCGCCGTCCACATTTGCCAGATTTTATCATTTGGATGTCCATGCACTACAGGCATGGATTCTCTCTGTTTAGACTGCCATTCTTCCCCTTTGGGCAAAGTTGTTTATGGCAATTTTTCTTACCATATGGCGGACAATTTTACATGTTATACGTAAAATGCACTTAAATGCACTTGTTTCCCCCAGAAAACAAAACAAAATATCTTATATCATTGTTCATCTATAGAAAATGCATCTTAAAGGGTTAGTTCACCCAAAAATTCAAATTAGCTTGTGTTTTACTTACCCTCGAAGCATCCTAGGTGTATATGACATTCTTCTTTCAGACGAATCCAGTCGGAGTTCCCAGATGGCTCCCGGGGATGAATAAAGGCCCCCTGTAGCAAATCCATGTGTTTTTGTAAGAAAAATATCCATGTTTCAAAGTAATAAACACTTTTCTCTCACTTCCGCTGACTGTTATACACTGAAGCAGTTCCGGCGGATGACGCAGCACGTTGGCGTTGCGTGATTAGTAACGAATGCGGAGAGAGAACAAAACAAAACGGCGGTCATGAATTAGAAGTACAAACCGAGATTTGCAAAGAAAAATGTCGGAGGATTTCGATATAAACCAAGAGGAGACTGGTTTTCCTTTGGTAAAGTAAGGACACTTTGCTTCCTTTGCTCCTATAAACAAACTTGCGAGACTAGCATACCTCAGAGGCGCGCGCGCTGCGCATATGTGCTGCGTCATCCGCCGGAACTGCTTCAGTGTATGACAGTCAGCGGAAGTGAGAGAAAAGTGTTTATTACGTTTGAAATATGGATATATATTTTTTTTTAAACACATGGATTCACTACAGGGGGCCTTTATTCATCCCCCGGAGCTGTCTGCAGGAAGTGAGAGAAAAGTGTTTATTACGTTTGAAATATGGATATATATATTTTTTTAAACACATGGATTCACTACAGGGGGCCTTTATTCATCCCCCGGAGCTGTCTGCAGCACGTTTTATTATGAATGCGTGAGCTTTATTTGACAACTTGTGGACTGTTCAACTGCAGCACCCGCTGACTGCAATGATAGAGCTTGGAATAGCCAGGACAATTTTTAATATAACTCCGACTGGATTCGTCTGAAAGAAGAAAGTCATATACACCTAGGATGCTTCGAGGGTAAGTAAAACACAAGCTAATTTTAAATTTTGGGTGAACTAACCCTTTAACTTAATAATTTTTAGATATTTGTACTTGAAATAGACAAAAATACTCAGTTAGAAAACCATTTGTGCAGTGTGAATGAATGAATGAGGTATTTAAACATCACTTACGCTTTAAAAAGTGAGAGGAGGCTGAAAGAAACTCTGAGTTTACTGAAGAAAACCCATAGTTTTCAGTGTATGATAACTAGCAACTCTCTCTCTCTCTCTGTCTTATCTGGTTGGTTATGTCATCTTCAGGTGTCCTTTCAGTGTTGAAATACGAGGGTGTGGTTATAGAAGGAAGGTAATTAGCAAAGAAAATCACTGTTCCTGTTTTATTTGAGCACATTCATTGCCATCAGCCTGCTGATACAGGTAAGAAAATTCAGTGACCATTGAACCAAACTCTTATTTTGTTGTGTGTTATTATGAAGGTCAGTGATTACAGCTAGAGGTTTCATGTCAGTGATAGTGATGACATGGTTTCTGTTCTTTCTTCTAGTTCATGGTTATCAAGGAACCACTTCTTTTGTCTGTGTAATTGCACTAGGGTATTTGTGATGGTTGGATAATCATAACACTGAGGATATGGGCGGGAAACATACCTAAACTATTTTGTTTCCAGGGGGTGGAGGGAGGAGGGTAGGAGGGTAATTTAAGCTAACAAATATTCAGCCATAAACTTAAAGGAAAGATGGCTTGACTGTATTCTTTGTGTGAAAGGGTTAATGATTTATTTTGCAATCCAGATCCAGTTTGACAGCATTTTCCCAGCAGCATGTACAGGCTTAAAACAGCAGGTTTTGCCCAAAGGCATTCCAATAAAACTCCCCGTTAATGGATGTGCGCTAATGAATCTTTAGCTTTAAAATGAAGTTTTTCTACTACATATCTTAAAGTAACTTGATCAGGTAGAATGTCAGGTAGGGTTTAAAGAAAAAGTGTATGACTTTATGACTTTACAACTATGTAGACATTTAGACACTTATCCATGTGATTATATAAGTTGACTAATGGGGGGATTTCCTGTAAACACACCAGATGACCCATATTACATTATTTTCTGTTGGTGATGACTATTTAAAGACAGTCCTGTTTTGAGTACATACAATTGCAAATGAAAACAAACACTGACATGAAGATACTGGCATTGAAATTTCTGACAGATTTCTGGCATAGATAGATAGATAGATAGATAGATAGATAGATAGATAGATAGATAGATAGATAGATAGATAGATAGATAGATAGATAGATAGATAGATAGATAGATAGATAGATAGATAGATACTTAAAGCTACTAGTATCTAAATGGTTAATATTAGTACCTTTTGAAAGGGTACCGCCCCAGTGACAGCTTTTGTACCTTTTTTTCTGATAGATAGATATTAGTATCTAAATGGTTCATATTAGTACCTTTTGAAAGGGTACCGCCCCAGTGAAAATATTATTTAATATTAAAAATGTATTATCTCTATCTATCTATTTTCATGTTGACATATCATATATAATATATTATATATGATATACAGTGTCAACATGAAAATGTACAGAAGGAATTGTAAGGGAAACAGGTCAATTTAGCTCAAAGGGAATCATTTAAGATTTTAAAGGGAACTCCACCATTAATATGTAAGGGAATTAGGACAGAATCACTGTTTACGGCTAATCACTGAGACGACCAGCGAGTCAGTGAACGAGCAGATAGATAGATAGATAGATAGATAGATAGATAGATAGATAGATAGATAGATAGATAGATAGATAGATAGATAGATAGATAGATAGATAGATAGATAGATAGATAGATAGATACTTAAAGCTACTAGTATCTAAATGGTTCATATTAGTACCTTTTGAAAGGGTACCGCCCCAGTGACAGCTTTTTTACCTTTTTTTCTGAGAGTGTAGATAGATAGGTAGATAGATGGATTGATAGTTTCTCATATTGATGTGTACTGTACTAACAGCATCACTAGATGGCGTACTCCACACAAACACTGGCTGCAGGCTGCTTTGGGAAAATATACAAGGAGAAGTTTGGAGACACATGGGCTGCTGTGAAGAGAGTTCCTTTAGGAGTCATCAACAGACAACAGTTGGAGAGAGAATGCAAAGTATATCAGTATGTATATTTAATATTTCTTAATTTTTAATGATTTTAACTGAGGTTAAATTATAACCATGAAGCACACTTTTTTAACACCAGTAATGCTCGGCATATAAACGTGGTGAAGCTTCTTGGTGAACCTTGGATAAAAGACTCCAAGTGGAACATTCCTTTGGAGTTCATCTTTGGGGAAGATCTTGAGACGACCATCTTCAAAGTACAGCTTTCTAAAATACAGGTAAGGATGTCTAGCACAGCTCAAAAATGTTAAATCTATCATCCTATACTTACCCTTGTATTATTTATTTCTTTAGTGAAACAGATTGAGAAGTTTAGCAGAATTTCCTGATTTGCTGCTTTTTTTCCATATAATATAATACTACAGTTTTTTTTTTATTTTTACAATCGCTATGATACTTTTTGTCAATACTTTTAACAATTTTCCTAAACTCTTAATGCAGTTAGTAGAACATCCATCTGTGTAGGCTATACAATTAACGCATTGGTAACACTTTACAATAAGGTTCATTAGTTAAACATTAGTTAATATATTAACTAACATGAACTAACCATGAGCAATACATTTGTTACTGTATTTACTAATCTACGCGTTAGTTAATAAAAATACAGATGTTCATGTTAGTTCACAGTGCATTAACTAATGTTAACAAGATTTTAATAATGTTTTAGTAAATGTTGAAATTAACATTAACAAAGATGAATAAACGCTGTATACGTGCAGTTCATTATTAGTTCATGTTAACTAATGTAGTTAACTAATGAACCTTATTGTAAAGTGTTACCAACAAGCTCAACCAAGACCAAAACAATGGATTTTTACTGCCAAATTTGCAAATGCTTTCACACTGTATGTCAGAACAGATAACATCATGTTCTAAACCTAAGCTAAAGTCAAAGTGAATGTTAAGTGAAACTGTTAATATTGTGAATTGAAACACAAATACATCCCCTGTTTTTTATTCAGTAATGAGAAACAGCTGATTGAGGTTATGCAAATATATAAATTACAGCTGATTTCCATCTAGGAAACACACTCAGGTGTTGAGGTTCTTTCAATCATATGATCATACGGTATACAGTAAAAGAGGACCTCTTTGGGCTGATCTTGTGTGGAAAAGTGCACTCCTGCATGAATGTGAGGTTTTAGAAGACCTGCATGAAAGACTGGTGCCAGAGGTAGAAAGGTGACAGGTGGGGAAACCACTTGCCAATATATGTGATCACATGAAACAATATGGCATTCCATCATTCCCGTGCAGTCACAGCCTGATTTGACACCCATCCGAGAATGATGTCCACTTTCCTCAACCTCATTGAGAAGTTTTTCTCAGCCTAGAGGTGGAAGGTTTTTGAGCATCGTCCACAGGGCCAAATGTCCCTCATGAATGCAGCATGCCCAGACATCACAGCTGAACACTGCCAGGGGTGGATAAGGCACACCAAAAGATACCTTGCCAGAGAAGAAGATATCAGGTGTGATGTAGATAAGAACATGTGGCCGAATGCAGAAGACCAGGCAGATTAGAAGATTACTTTTTTAATTTATGTTTTTGTTTTTTTTATCTGTGGCTTTTTATGTTTGTATATTTTGTATTTTCATATAGTAAACGGCAACAGTATTGCATATTTTTGTTATCTTGCAGTTATGTCCTGTTGCAAATAAAGCCTTTACTTCATTAATTCTGTCGCTGTTTTTTTTTCTTTCATAAACCATACATTCTATAAAGCTACTAAAATGTTTTCTGTACTGACACCTAGTCAAGTTCACTTGCATTTTGCTCAGTTTAATTAACAATATGTGACCCTGGACCACAAAACCAATCTTAAGCCGCTGGGATATATTTGTAGCAATAGCCAAAAAAACATTGTATGGGTCAAAATTATCGATTTTTCTTTTATGCCAAAAATCATTAGGATATTAAGTAATGATCATGTTCCACTACTGTAAATATATCAAAACTTAATTTTTGATTAGTAATATGCATTGCTAAGAACTTCATTTGGACAACTTTAAAGGCAATTTTCTCAGTATTTAGATTTTTTTGCAGATTTTCAAATAGTTGTATCTATCCTAACAAACCATACATCAATGGAAAGCTTATTTATTCAGCTTTCAGATGATGTATAAATCTCAATTTCAGGTTTTGTGGTCCAGGGTCGCATATATATGATTAAATCAGGATTTAAACCTGGATCTTTGCACATTAAATGACACCTCAAGTGACGACAAAATTTCTTTACAACATCTTTAAAAAGTATGCTTTAGATTATATTGGTGGAGCCAAAGTACAACAATGTCTTCTTGTCTTCTTCAGCTGACTCACGCAGTGAAAGGCACAATCATCACTGGGATGTGTGACGGTTTGCTCTATCTGCACAGTAAAGACATCGTCCACCAAGACCTCAAACCTGATAACATCATGGTGAGACACAAATGCTCCTCAGTGGGCCAAGAATCGAAAATGTGTTTTCATTTTACTGTTCATAGTATCAACTTGCTCCTATCATGTTGCTCCTAAAGTTCCTTTGAAGGATTCAATGAGGAATGCTTGAGCTCATATTGAAATCTGTGTCTTTTGATTACAGACTTTGAGATAATTTGTAGTAGAAAAAAATACCTTTTTCTACATGTTTCCCCTATATGTGGTCATGAGCAATGAAACATACTTTTCTCATTCTATTTCAGGTGGAGCATCAAACCCACCGTGCTGTGATCATTGATCTAGGACTGGCTAAATTCTCCAGAAACGGACTCACCTCTGCAGTAAACTTGGGCAATGAAGCATATTCAGCTCCAGAGATCCTGCAGAATAATGGCGTTCGTGACAAACGCTCAGACGTTTGGGCCATGGGTAAAATCATAGCAGAACTCTGCGCCAGGATCAGGTTACCAACCCAATTTGTGTCTCCTGTCAAGATTTGTGAAACTCTAAAAGACCAGCCATACTGTAATCCAGTGTCCAGGATGGTGGAACCCAATCCCAATTACAGAAGTACTATGGCTGGAGTCATCACAGACATCTGGAGAGCTGCTTCACCTCAACCAGCAGACATTAGACCAAAAGAGATCACAAGAGACATCACAGTGACACATGGAATTGACATGAGGCCAAATCAAAAGGGGTGTCCACCAGGACCTCCTGTTCATAAAGTGGAGGTAAATAAACCTCCTATGTTATACTATCGACAGGATCCACCTCAGCAGAGAGAGCTGGGAAAGGCAATGGTACCGGTTAGAGGGGAGGCCTTAAACAAGCACTTGTCTCTGATGTCATTTCCTTGCCCTCTCCCTGAAACCGGAAAAGTGACTCAGGAACGCTACATTGAGGAAAAGGGAGCCCTAGAATATAAAGAGATCGTCACGAAGGGAGGGAGAATCGTTAAATATGAGAAAGTGCAAATAACCAAAGATTCTTAAAAAAACACTAGACTTGTGTTCTGAAAAACGTTGGCGAGTACTTTCATTCTACGTAGGTTAATGCTTTTTTCTTTTCTTTTTTTTTTAAAGAGATCTCATCTGGAAAACTATTGTAGTGAAATTGGTTTTATTTAATTTTTTTGTCATTGCTGATATCCTGTTTATATTCATTCAACATTCATTTTGTCTCATTTGATGTAAAGTATAAATCATTAAAATGTGAAAAACATCAATGTGTTTATCTACTTTTTCTGTCATTAATAACGTGTAGTATATCACACATTGAAATGTGTTCAAATTAATTTGCACTTTATTAAATAATAGCCATCTGGTATCCAAAAGAGCAATATGCATACACAGGTGAACGTTGCTCTGGACTAATATGTTGGCTCCCTCTGGCGGACTCGAAAAGTGGAGACCCCAAACGTCATCATGCATTTGCTTCATTCATCCTGAGAGTAAATTTACCTTTGAAGTGTGCATGTATTTCCCCCAGTTTTGCACTCTGTTTTAGAATTAATAGATATTAGTGCTATATCAGGACAATAATGCATGTTTAAAAATAATCACTGATACTGATAATAATGTTTCCTGCATTTTCAATTCAAAGAAACATTTGTTTACTTTGATTTTATCAATACACTCTAAAATGTTTTCAATTGCTTTATTTTACTTTATTTTTAAAAATGCAGGCTCTCAAATAAAACAAATGCTAATTGATTTGATCATTTAGAAAGAATTTGTGGGGAGTTAATACAATTTGATGATGAACATGAATAGAAACGTCTAATTTGTCCATTGCATCTCATGTAAGTAGATTTCATCACATATATAGCCTTGCTATGTGTCACTCTGCACTGTGAAATCTTGTGGTAATCAAGGTATTCAGAACATAAAATAATAGAGTCGTCAATGTCATTTGTAGTACTCATTGAAAGGGATAAGGATTATGAGTTGCATTAAAGGGCATGTTTAAAAAAAAAAAATTTCACCAATAAACTGAAGTGAAACTTAGTAAAGAAATTACAGGAAAAGAATGAAATGCAGAATGGTGTTTTTATAATCGTTGAAAGCCAAAATCAAAAACAAAACTAAAACGTTATTAACTGCACAGGCCTAGCCATCAAATAATCTTTAGGAGCAAGGAGGGCCCCTGTTGGTTTGAGGGGCCCTACGCAACCTGTGTAGGCTAGCCTACTTTACGTATAAGGGAGGACCGGCACTGTCTGAAACTACACTCTTAAAAATAAAGGTGCTTCAAAAGGTTCTTCAAGCGATGCCATAGATGAACCATTTTTGGTTCCACAAAGAACCATTCAGTCAAAGGCTCTTTAAAGAACCATCTCTTTCTTACCTTTTTGTAATCTGAAGAACCTTCTTTCACCCCAAAGAAGCTTTTGTGAAACAAAAGATGTTAAAGGTTCTTTATGGAACCATTTAGACAAAAAGGTTCTTCTATGGCATCATGAAGCACATTTATTTTTAAGAGTGTATGAGGACCTACCAACTTGCTGCCTTTGAAGAAGTGAATGTTAGAACTGATTAAAGGCTCCTTGAAAAATAAAAACCATTTGGGGTCTTCCTGAAACAACTATGCTGTTGTCACAATCTGTGATGGCGAGGACCGATGGAGATGAGGAATAAACAAAACGGTCTTTAATCCAAGAAACACAAGGTCCCTCCAACACTGGGAACAGCAGGGAACATAAGTAGAACCCACAGAGACAGACTGCACAGACTAGAACTTAAATACAGGGGATGATTGGGGAAACACAGGTGTATGGGATGACTAATCAAACTAATTAACAAAACGAGGACAGGAACATGACCAAATAAGGGAACAGAAACAGGGGCAAAACATAACACAGACAGTCCATGATCCTGACAGCTGTTTCGTAATGGGGTAATGACTCGTCATCACAACAATATTGAGTGAGGTGTTCAAACATTCTAGCGTGTATGAAAAATGGCCAAGCTGTTGCAATTGAAGAATTCAGGATTTTTAAGTCTAATGATGTTTTTAATGTAATAAAAAAGTTTTGGCTTTCTGGAACAATAAATGTTCTGTGTGTCATCTCTATTGAAGTGAAGAATACATCAAATGATGTCTTCATGCATGCCTCATCTAAATTAGATGGTAGTACTCTTTAGTGATATTTTGTTATCGCTATTTTCCATTTTTTTCTCCCCCCTAATTGTTAAGTCATCACATCGACTTAGATATGTAATGACTTTGTAATGGGGCGAACGAGACGTGAGACGTGCGGATCCGTATGCAAGGCTTTATTTCCAAGACATGGTCATATAACAGGCATGGGTCAAACAATGGCAAACAGGTACAACACAGGCAAGACAAAGAGTAATCCTAGGTGTGGGTCTTCGATAGGCGAACAGAATCCGGAGGGCTTGACAAAAGGGGTAATCCGTAATACACAGGCAAAGATCTTTACACAGGAAAACAGGCAAGGCAAGACTAGACTAAACTATGAACTAGACCGGGAACTGGCTGCGTAAAGTAGCTACCGCTAGAAGAGTGATAAACGCTAAACAATACTCGGCGTTGAATGGTGGTGTGAGACTGATTTATATAGTGTGTGTTATTAGTAGCTTTCAGGTGAGCATGTGATTGGTTACAGCTGTGTGCAATCAGTGCAATGGATGATGGGGAAATGTATTCCAGGGTACAGTGTAACAGTCTGTGTAGTGTGAGAGTCCATGTAGTGAGCAGGTGACCTCTGGTGGTGAGTGAACGGAAGTTCATAGACCGGATTCGTGACAGACTTATCTGGCTATGCAATGAAATTGTAGAATATGACATTTATAATGTGTTGACATGTTGACATCTGCAAATGTCTTTAAATTGTCCCTTCTTTAATGGACCCCAAAACCAGCACAAATCAAATGATCGGAATAAAATTTCCCATCCTTAGCTATTAATAGCAAATCCATCCTACCTATTTTTTTACTTTATGTTTTCATAAAGATAAGTATGACTGAGTCATTAGAACAAACTGGATAAGTTTTTTGAGCAGCTGAGTTGAGTCAGCACACTTTCTTAGGTCTGCTTGTCAATCCCACAATCCAATACGTGAGTGCTAAACTTAACATCCATCGGAAAGAATAGTATGAAAACACCAACTCTGCTCCGGTCAATCCACACCAAAACACCATTATGGATCCACACATTTGAAACGTAACAGGAGGAGAAACAATGATAAGTTCTATTTATAAAATGTGTATTAATGAATGCTATTGTCATCACTTGTGTTTACTGGTCATCAATTAGAAATGGTACCACTTAAATGTCTACAAAAAGGTAATTAATGTAACAAATCTGATGCTGAAGTATATATTATTACACTGAAAGTGTGAGTAAAATGTATTTGTAAAATCAAAATTGGCCCCTGAACTTCCAATCATGCCCTTGATCACAAAAACATTGATTTTCAGCGCAAGTTTGCATCTCTGTTAACAATCTTCTCAGTTTCTCTAGAAAGTAAACTGAAGGCCCATTCACAAACATAACGCAACTATATTACTTTTTGAAGGACAGAGATAATGAAATGATATTATGCTTAATCACTTTGCCCTCTCAAGCAACAACATAGATGTTGATTGACTTAACGGTTTACAGTGAAAAAAACAATTGATAGGTTAAGACTACCAATCTCTGCACACCCCATTTTGCGCCTCTGTGTTTTGATTATCATAGTTTTTTCATGATGAATCAGGGTTGATTCAAACAATCATGTATTTTTGTAACAGAAGTTGTGACAGATGTCACGCTACTTGTTATATATAAAATAAGTGGCGTTAAACTTTATGATTTACTGAAACTAGTTTCCAACAATAGTTTTTTTTTTTTTTTAGAATGTTGGGTTTAAAGTTGTTTTTTATTTCTCATAGTTGCGACTGGCTGACTGCATAATAAAAACAGGATGAGCAGGTTACCAAATGTGATGTTGTTAAGTGAAGTAACACTTCAGGAACAACGAAGTATGTAATTAAGAGCATATTTTAAGGGAAATGAGCAAGTCAAGTTAGACGTCATACTGACTACCACAGTTGTTTGGAAAAGTAGATTTTTTTGTTGTCTTTTGATGAATGATTGGTATGCTGTTAAACAACAGTGCAATCCACCAAACACACATCCTCATTTTACATTCCTGTGAAAAATGTAATATGGCAATAACCTGACTAATAATAAATATGACTAGACTAAGGTCTATTGAAAAAAATTTACTGAAATGCAATATTAAATTAATTAATTTAATACATTTTCAGCTCAAACTCTTGCATTGTTTGGCAAATAACTACTGGTTTTGATTAATATTAGTCAAGTCTTTTTTGTGTTTTTTTTCATACAGTAACTTGCATCCTTTGCAAGACATGACCTAACTTTTTTACAAACAAGATTGGTGTATAAATACAACACAGAAGAAATGTTAAAAAAATATATAAGAGAACAAAGCTAATTCATTCTTTCAGTTTCTTTCTTAGCTACCCTCCTGTCAGTAGATGTGTGGGTGGAGATGTATAAAAGGGCTTACAGATCTCTGGTTATTCACCTTCACTGCTTTGAAGAGCTGCTTGAAAAATGGACAAAGACTTTGGTACGCAAATATCATATTTAATTTTATTTAATTTAATGAATCTTAAAGTATATGTTTTTGTGCATATTTATGGTATTGTAAAAACACTAATTAGTGTCTACAAAAATAAACATATTTGTATAATTTATTTGATTTTATTCTGCATTTAATGGCTCTGCTTAGCAGCATATGTACTAAAAACATATATTGCATTAATATTGACTTTGTCTAGGCACATTTGCACAACTTAATATGCACAGCAGCAACAGTTACATTGCATTCTGCTGTTCTGCCTAATTTTGAAGTTAATTTAAAGTAGATTTTTGACTTTTTGAAATGATTTCCTTGTTTCTCGCAGTTGTAGCATTTGCTTACCCCAGTAAAACATCTCCAACAATGAACTATAACTGGGGTATGACTCCGAAAAACCAGATAGTACCTTTTGGGTAGGTATATTTGTACCAGTGG